TGTACATAACGATATAGATATAGTCCACTCCAGCATACTCGTCAAATACAACTTTGCAGACGATAGTAATCTCTATGCCAGCAACTCGGATCTCCATTCCTTGATGAGAACTATCAACATTGAATTGACTTAAGTAAGGACCAGGGTAATATATATATATTTGTTACGGGAATTAGCCCACCAAGGCACAGATCGAACGACCCACAACGGGGCCTAAAGGGCGAAAAAATAAGAATAGAAAGAAATACAAAATATAAAAGAAAAAAAGTTATATTAATCTACACCATGAAGATACCGGAAAACCAGCTTTTTAAAGTGACTTTTAAACTCGAAAAAACCCACTACACAATCTTAAACAGAAGGAAAAATTAGCCTCAGATTTGGACCCCCTATACCTTGGTAATACAGTCCTCAAACGTGAACAAAATACTAAATTCCTTGGGGGTTATTGTTGATGAGAAACTTAACTGGAGAAACCACATACAAGACATTCACAGTTAAGTCAATAAACAGTGCGGTATCATGTATCACACTCGACAATCACTCACTCTCACAGCAATGAAAGAAATATATTATGACCTTGTTTACCAACATCTGATACACTGCCACACACTATGGGGGGGGGCTCTGGCTCTAAACAAACACAACCCCTGATCACTGCACAGAAGAGAGTTGCGCGGACAATGATCTTCTTGAAAAAACTGCACTAACGAACAATTTCCTAATTTGCAAATATTAAAATTCGAAGATATTAACACTTACTGCTGTGCCTTATTTTTGACAAATCTGTCAATCACTTGATTGACAATAATTATTACCAGTTCCGAAATAATCCGAGATACAACTTACGACATCCAGAGCTACTAAGAACACCTCCCATGTGCTCCTCTCAGTCCCAGACCTCCATAAATTATCACGGTGTAAAGGTGTGGAACAACTTACCCCCACCCATCCGAGCAAAGACTACGCTCCCTTCCTTTAAATCTTCAAGAAAATATCTATTGTCTAAGTATTATTATTTTTATAATACCTGCTTTATATTCCTGCTTTTATTGTACCACCAAAACCATTATATCATAAATTGTCATGTACACAGATAAAAATTACCATTACAATTATATTTACCGACAAGACATGATACTGACAGCTTCTGTACTCTTGTTCCACCTTAATACAACCCAGGTGGTATTGCTTCCCTCTCGACAAATTTATGTATAGTATATTAACCCCACTGTAAAATGTCTATATTCTAATATTAATGTAAAAAATAATAAATAAACAACGAAGTGATAACCGAAGTAACATTATGATATGTTGTCATTACCACCACGTTACGTATACTAGTCCAGATGATACTAAATGTTACGTATAAACCGTTATTAAAACACCACTCCACGTTAAAAACACTTCCCGTCAGGTCAGGGAAGACGGAAATTTGTGACGTCTAACTTTGCCAGAGTAAAAAAAAAATAAATAATTACAAAGAAACAAGTAAATGTAATCAAGGAAATGATTCAGTGGTTCATTTAAACCGTACTGGCTAAGGTCTTTAACTCTTTATAACTCAGGTCATTAAGCGCGTATTCTAGGTCATTAATACACTAATATTATCAACGATTAATAACTAAGAGAGATACATCTTTACTCGCTAAGTGTATTACATTATATTCCTCAAGGCTAAGGATTACCAAATGAAAAAGCACAAAGATTATATTAAATCAATAAATTGTGATAACTGAAAAAAGTATAACAAAAACACGTACAGTATATCAAGATGGTGCATTATATTTCTTCATAGACCAAAACAAAACACACGCGCGCTGTCGCCTAGGATCAAGAGTTTATCTGAAATTCGCGATTAACATTTACTTTTAATTTGGAATTACTGAATTAAGACAATTTTGGCTTTAATATAAGGCAGTTCAATGTTCTGTTATAGTTTCTTAACTCAGAAGATTATAATATCTCCTATGCAGAGTTAAAGGGTTTAAATATCTCACCAATAGTCATTTACACATTCATTAGTGAAACTGTAATCACGTGGAAATCAGAAAACTACTATCGAAAACAATGTCATTCTACTATGATAAAAATGTAGATTGAGGTTTTTATATTTCAAACAAAACCACAAAACTAAACATATTGTTACGAGCCGCTAATATGAACTAAAGGAATTTAATAGGTTTTCCAATTATCATAAATTTTGCTCATTTTCCTAAAAACACGTGATTTTCATTTCACTTTCGACTTCATAATCAGCACCAAAAAAAAAATGCGAAATCCTAAGCTTTTCAGTAGTTGGATAATTTGTGTTTACAAACGTCATCATCCTGTTATTTTACCGAGAGAGAGAGAGAGTGAGTTTCGGACATTAATAACCAACACATTTTCTTCTTTTACAGACTACAAGTGTGTGCGTCCTGCTAGGCGGCCTGCAGACTGTTGCTGCCCTACAGTTGTATAGCCCCATGTAGGATAGTCTGACCCAAGCTGGCCTTTACTGGACATACGGCTTAGTGGCAGCTGTAGGAATACCTTACTCTCTCTTGTTCGTGAAGGAGACAGCTGGTAGGAGGGTTGGCTAATTCAGGGACTCTACAGTATATGGCGGGGACAGCACACACACACAGATTACTTAAGAACTGTTTCCACCGTAGACAGCACAAACAGTTTTGTTGCCGAGACTTACTGCTTGAGTGAAATAAGCCTGGTCATTCAGTCACTGATAGTCGGGTCACTTATCTTATGGTGTTATTTACAGAGAAGACAGACAGAGCATAATGTCGTGTGTGTGTGTGTGTGTGTGTGTGTGTGTGTAATAATAATAATAATAATATTAATAACAATTAACGGTTTATTGAGCATGACAGCCGGAAGCCTGAAAATATACAGTTGCATAATTGGGGAATGGGTTACTTGATTGACCAATAATGTACAAGTAACATAAGTGATATAAATATGATATATATAATAACTAGGTGGGGAGAAGCTCAAACTAAAAGCCATTTCAACATAGTGACAGTGCAAAACGGTAAGATTGACTGGGAGTGAATACACTGGTTGATTACAAGTTATTGATAATTTTTACAATGGTTGGGACTGGGCTGTTCTTATAGCGATCAGTACGTACTCGTATGGGTTGGATGCAGTTGTGGTGTCGAACAGCAATTCTCGGACGAGGGATCTCGGGTGGTAGTAGGAGCCGGTGTCGAGGATGGTGCAGAAGCTTTTCACCAAATTTGCAGATGAGGTCGTGGTGATTTTCAGAGAGAGCCGAGAGGGTGTTTGTGTGTGTGTGGAGGTCTTAAAAACAAATGCCAAGTTTGTACCTCTGAACACGTGTAAAAATTAAGTTGTATATTTTACGTCAGATTCAAGTGTTCCAAATTAGTATGACATTGTTGGCGAGTTCCATAGATAACACCACCCCACACACACACATGAGCATCGTGGCCACTTTGAACCTGTAATATGAACCTGCCAAACCCTAGACCAAGATATTACATAAATATATCAGTAAATATGAGTGGTTAATGTTGCCTAATGTTTCTAAGTTTACATCTGTTGTTTCTATATACTGTACACGCATTAAAGAGTCTGAAGTATATAGACTGATCTCAGAGTTCCATCACCACTGTCAGGGTGTTAGAAGTGAACCCCGCAACAGATCAACATGATGGGACCTGACAAAACTTTTGTTATTATTAGTTACGTCTGTCATTCACGCACACGATCAACAGCATATGTCAACCATGAGCAGAGACAATATGTAACACAACAGGCAGGCAGCAGCAACACTAGCCACAGACGGGCAACAGCAACACGTATCAGCCACAGAAGACAGGCAGCAGCAACGCAGTGTCGACCACAGACAGGCAACAGCAACACGTATCAACCACAGAAGACGAAAGAGCCCCAGCAGCAACGTGTCGACCACAGACAAACTAACTAACCAACGTGTCAACCTGAACCAGGCAGCAATAATACTTATCCAGCCACAGACAGGCAGCAACACGTATCAACCACAGACAGAGCGGCATCAGCAAAAAGGCAGCAACGTATCAACCACAAAGACAGCAACGCTTGTCAGCCACAGACCAGGCAGCAGCAACCTGGTGAGCAGCAACGTGTCAGCCACAAAGGCAACAGCAACACATCAACCACAAGGCAGCAGCAACACGGATCAACCACAAAAGACGGCAACAACGTCAACCACAGACGGGCAGCAGCAACACACGTGTCAACCGGGCAGCAGCAACACGTGTCAACCACAAAGGCAACAACAACACGTATCAACCACAAAGGCAGCAACGCTTACATCCAACCACAGACAGGCAGCAGCAGCAACACGTATCAACCACAGACAGGCAGCAGCAACACGTATCAACCACAACAGACAGGCAACACGCTTACATATCAACCACAGACGGGCAGCAGCAACACGTATCAGCCACAAAGCAGCAACAACAACACGTGTCAACCACTGAAAAAATGAGCAGCAGCAACACGTGTGTCGGCCCTGAACAGAGCCAGCAACAGCACGTGTCAATAACCACAGACAGGCAGCAACAACACGTGTCCAGCCACAGGAGGACCGCAACAACCGTGTCAACACAGACGAGGCAGCAACAGCGTGTCCAGACAGGCCGCTTAGCAACACGTATCAACCACAAAGGCAGCAGCAGCAACAACGTGTCAACCACAAAAGGCAGGCAGCAGCAACACATATCAACCTGAACAGGCAGCAACAACGTATCAACCACAGACGGGCAGCAACAGCACGTATCAGCCACAAAGGCAGCAGCAACAACAGTGTCGAACAAGGCAGGCAGCAGCAGCACGTGTCCAGCCACAGACAGGCAGCAGCAACGTATCAGCCATAGACGGGCAGCAACACGGTAATCCCAGCTTCTGAGACAGGCAGCAGCACGTGTCAACCTGGACAGGCAGCAGCAACACATATCCCAGCCACAGACGGGCAGCAGCACGTCAGCCTGGACATGAGCAGCAACAACAGACAAGCAGCAACAACGCATTATCAACAACAGACCAGGCAGCAGCAGCAACGTATCAACCACAGACAGGCAGCAGCAGCAACACGTATCAACCACAGACAGTCAGCAGCAACACGTGTCAGCCACAGACAGGCAGCAACAACCGTGTCCAGCCATAGACGAGCAGCAACAACACGTATCAACCACAGACAGGCAGCAGCAACGCGGCTGTCAACTAGAACCAGGCAGCAACAACACATATCAATACAGACAGGCAGCAACAACACGGCGTGTCAGCCACAGACAGGCAACAGCAACACGTGTCAACCACAGACAGGCAGGGCAGCAACACGTAATCAACCACAGACCAGGCAGCAGCTACATGTCAACCACAGACAGGCGAGCAACACGTATCAACCACAAAAGGCAGCAGCAAACGCGGCCAACCACACAGACCAGCAGCAACACTTGTCAACCACAGACCAGATACCAAACACTTGTCAACCACAGACGGGCAGCAGCAACACGCATCAACCACAGACAGGCAGCAACAACACACGTGTATGCAACCACAAAAGGCGGGCAACAGCAACACGTATCCAACCACAGACAGGCAGCAGCAGCACGTATCAACCACAGACAGGCAGCAGCAGCAACACGTGTCCAGCCACTGCGAACCAGGCAGCAGCAACACGTATCAACCACAAAGGCAGCAGCAACACGTGTCCAGCCACAGACAGGCAGCAGCAACACGTATCAACCACAGACAGGCAGCAGCAACACGTGGCAATAACCACCACAGACAGGCAGCAACAACGGTGTCAACCACAGACAGGCCACTGTAAACGCCTATCAACACGGAAGCAGGCAGCAACAGCACGTGTCAACCATAGACAGGCAACGCAGCCAACACGTATCAACCACAAAAGGCAGCAACAACGTGTCAACCACAGACAGGCAGCAGCAACACGTATCAACCACTGAACCAGGCAGCAGCAACACGTATCAACCACGCGACCGACAGCAGCAACGTGTCAACCACAGACAGGCCCGCAGCAACGCTTGTCAACCACAGACAGGCAGCAGCAGCACGCATCAACCACAGACAGGCAGCACGTGTCAACCACAAAGAGCAGGCAACAACAACAGTATCAACCACAGACAGGCAGCAACAACGTATCAACAGACGAACCCAGCAGCAACCGTGTCCAACCATAGACAGGCAGCAACAGCGCACGTGTCAACCACAGACGACAGCAACTAACACGTGTCAACCACAGACGGGCAGCAGCAACACGCGTGTCCAACCACAGACCAGGCAGCAGCAACACGTGCCAACCACAGACAGGCAGCAACAGCGTGTCCAGCCACAGACAGCAGCAACAGCATAATCAACCACAGACAGGCAGCAGCAACACGTGTCAACCCTGAACAGGCAGCAGCACGTGTCAACCACAGACGCCAACAGCAACACGTGTCAACCTGGATGAGCAGCAACACGTATCAACCACAGACAAGGCAGCAACAACACGCGTATCAACCACAACAGACAGGCAGCAGCAACACGTATCAACCAGACAGTCCAGCAGCAACACGTGTCAGCCACAGACAGGCAGCAGCAACTGCGTGTCCAGCGCCATAGACAGGCAGCAGCAACACGTATCCCAGCCACAGACAGGCAGCAGCAACGCGTATCCAGCCACAGACAGGCAGCAACAACACATGTCAGCCACAACAGACGAGCAGCAGCAACACGTAATCCCGGCCACAGACCAGACGGCAGCAACACGTATCCAGCCACCAGACGGGCAGCAGCAACGTATCAACCACAGACAGGCAGCAGCAACACATAATCCCAGCCACCAGACAGGCAAGCAGCAACGCTTTACGTGGCCAACCACAGACGAGCCAGCAGCAACACATTAATCCAACCACAGGCAGGCAGGCAGCAGCACGTGTCAACCACAGAACCAGGCAGCAGCTACATGTCCAGCCACAGACAGGCGAGCAGCAACGCGTATCAGCCACAAAAGGCAGCAGCAACGCACTTGTCCCAACCACAGACGGGTAGCAGCAACCTTGTCAACCACAGACAGGCCGCAAGCAACACGTGTCAACCACCACAGACAGGTAGCAGCAACACGTGTCAACCACAGACAGGCAGCAGCAACACGTGTCAGCCACAGGCAGGCAGCAGCAACGCATTATTAATCAGCCACAAAACCGCAACAACACGTATCAACTTCACAAAAGGCAGCAGCAGCAACCACAGACAGGCAGCAGCCTACATGTCAGCCTAGACAGAGCGGAAAGCAACACGTATATCAACAACAACGCCCATCTACAGACAGGTAGCAACGTGCTTATCCAACCTGTGAACCAGCAGGCCACCAATAACACTTATCCAGCCACAGACGAGCAGCAGCAACACGCATCAACCACGAACAGGCAGCAACGCTTGCAGTGTCAACATAAAAGGCAAACAGCAACAACACGTATCAACCACAGACAGGCAGCAGCAACACGTATCAACCATAGACAGGCAGCAGCAACACGTGTCCAACCACAGACAGGCAACAGCAACACGTGTCAACCACAGACCAGCAGCAACAACACATGTCCAACTGAACAGGCAGCAGCAACACGTGTCAACCTGAACCAAACAGCAAAGCACGTGTCAATACAGACGACAGCAGCAACACGTATCAACCACCAGACAGCCAGCAACAACACGTATCCTAGCCAGACAGGCAGCAACACGTATCAACCACAGACAGTCAGCAGCAACACGTGTCAACCACGGGCAACGCTTACGTAGCCAACCATAGACAGGCAGCAACAACACGTATCAACCACAGACAGGCAGCAGCAACACGTGTCAACCACAGACAGGCAGCAGCAACACATGTCCAGCCACAGACAGGCAACAACAGCAATATTCAGCCACAGACAGGCAGCAACAGCTTGCGTGTCCAGCCACAGACAGAGCAGGCAGCAACACGTAATCCCAGCCACAGACAGGCAGCAGCTACACATGTCCAGCCACAGACAGGCAGGCAGCAGCACGTATCAAGGCAGCAGCACTTGTCAGCCACAGACAGGTAGCAACACTTGTCCCAACCTGAGACAGGCCGCAGCAGCACGTGTCCAGCCACAGACGGGCAGCACGTGTCAGCCACAGACAGGCCTTGGCAGCAACACGTAATCCCAGCCACCAGGCAGGCAGCAGCAACACGTGTCAACCTAAAAAGACAGCAACAACGTATCAACCACAAAAGGCAGCAACAACACGTGTCAACCAGACAGCTACATGTCATCAACCACAGACAGGCAGGCAGCAGCATCAATACAAAAGGCAGCAGCAACACTTGTCAGCCAACCACAGACGGGTAGCAGCAACACTTGTCAACCACAGACAGGCCACAGCAACACGTGTCAACCACAGACAGGCAGCAGCAACACGCATCAACCACAGACAGGCAGCAGCAACACGTGTCCAACCACAGACAGGCAGGCAGCAACACGTATCAACCTAAAAGGCAGCAACAACACTTGTCAACCACAGACAGGTAGCAGCAACACGACCTTCGACCACCAGACAGACATGCGGGCAGCAACCGCGATAATCAGCCAGAAGACAGGCAACAGCAACACGTGTCAACCAGAAGACAGGCAGCAGCAACGTGGCGCCAGCCACAGAGACAGGTAGCACCAACGTCACGACCGCAAACAGGCAGCAGCCAACACATTAATCGACCACCGTAGACAGATAGCAACAGCAGCACAGTGTCGACCACCAGACAGACAAAGCAGCAGTAACACAGTGTTAACCACAGACGACAGCAACAACACGTGTTAACCACAGACAGACAGGCAGCAGCAACACGTGTTAACCTGTAGACAGGCAGCAGCAGCAACACATGTTAACCACGCAGACAGACAGGCAGCAGCAGCACGGTGTTGAACCACAAGCAGACGGGCAGCAGCAACGCAGTGTTAACCACCAGACAGACGGGCAGCAACGTGTTAACCACAGACAGACAGGCAGCAGCACCGTGTTAACCATAGACAGACAGGCAGCAGCAATACGTGGTGGCTCCACAGACAGACAGGCAACCTTATGTTAACCACAGACAGACAGGCAGCAGCTTAACACGTGTTAACCACAGACAGACAAAGGCAGGCAGCAGCAGCACGTGTTGACCACAGACAGACAGGCAGCAGCAACGTGTTAACCACAGACAGACAGGCAGCAACACGTGTTGACCACAGACAGACAGGCAGCAGCAACGTGTTAACACAGACAGACAGGCATAACAGCACGTGTTAACCACAGACAGACAGGCAGCAGCAGCGCGTGTTTAACCACAGACAGACAGTAGCAACGTAGTAGTTAACCTGACCAGGCAGCAACAACGTGTTAACCACAGACAGACCAGGCAGCAGCAACGCGTGTGACCACAGACAGACAGGCAGCAATACGTGTTAACCACAGACCGGTAGCAACGTAATGTTAACCACAGACAGACGGGCGAAGTAGCAACGTAATGGCTTCTGGACAGGCAGCAACAACACGTGTTAACCACAGACAGACAGGCAGTAACCGCAACATGTGTTAACCACAGACAACTGAACATTCAGTAGCAACATGTGTTAACCACAGACAGGCAGCAGCAACAATACGTGTTAACCACAGACAGACAGGCAGCAGCAACACGTGTTGGCCACAGACAGACAGGCAGTAGCAACATGTGTTAACCATAGACAGGCAGCAGCAACACGTGTTACAAAAGGCAGGCAGTGAGAGAGAGGAGTGTGCGCGAGGTATCTACCAACAAGAGGCCGGGGAGCTAGCGGGCCAGGACTGCGTCAGTCGTTACCCCGACAGGCGGTAGAGTCGTGGTCCGTCGTCGGTGTCCGCCCACGACCCTAAGACCAGTGACGACCCAACTAGACAACTTTATATTTCTCCTAAACTTATTTATTTATAATAATATCGACATATGAACATAGTGTTTATAAGTATTATGAAAAGTTAGAGGTAGTGGTTTGCTAGTAGTGAAATTACTTTTATTATTCACTTCAACTTCGCCGGGCGCGAAGTTACGAAAGTTATTTGTCTCTTCTTAAACTTAATCAAACATCGAATTATCACAAACATTATGGAAAGTTAGAGCCAGTGAGTGGATGCAGCGGAAATACTTCATAGTGGATGGAAGTCTTCCCAGGACAAGCAGAAACGTAAGTAAGTTGAATACTTCATCAAGCTTCTTAAAACTGCTTAATACATTTATCATACAGAGTGCAACTTGTGTTGGGGTCACACAAGATTACATCATGCATTTCATACATTTGCACATAAATCTAAGTTTTGAGAGAACTTGCGGGGAGTTGAACCTCAAGGCAAGTTACTGGTAGTGCCTCACCCTGGTCACTCGCCACCTGCGGCCGCCGAGACACCATACCTGCGGCAGCCGAGACATCATACCTGCGGCCGCTGAAACACCATACCTGCGGCCGCTGAAACACCATACCTGCGGCCGCTGGGACACCATACCTTGCTACCACAGAGACACCACCATACCTTGCGGCCGCTGAAACACCATACCTTGCTACCACAGAGACACCACCATACCTTGCGGCCGCTGAAACACCATACCTACAAACCTCGGACGGTCAGTAAAATATACAGGTATTACGGAGAATCATCACCCTAGTATTGTTGACTTACTTCTTTAAATATTTTAGGTCAGCGACAATTTAATCCTTACAATTTGTATTTATTTCCCACCGTAAACACTTAGCGACCGAGTTAACCATCGAGTGTTCGCTTCATACATTTGTGCTCCTGGTGATCCAACGATTTTTATTCATATTTGAGCTGAAGTAAAGCGCCGATTCCTGGGTTAGCGTGGTGGGGGCAGTGATCCAGTAGTCCCCACGAGGACGGCTTAGTTAACTTGGTGTTGTGGATCTTCTCGTCA